TACTATTAAAATGTTGAAGCTGCTCCCAAAATACCCCATTTTACTGACCAAATACTGACCAAAAAGTGAATTCTCTTTTTTTATATAGGTATGCTGAGTTTTGTTTTCTTGCTATAACCTGTTAAAAAGAAAATAGGGGATATTTTAAAATGACTGCCATTTTGGGTAGGAATGAGATATTGACCTCTAGTTTGCATCATTTAATTTGTCTTGAGAAACCCTTTAAAATGAGGGGTCACATGATAGGTGTTTACATTCGAAAATTTGGGGCTGCCCCCAAAAAATTAAATTTTTGGGGCTGGGGACAAAGTTGTAACTTTGATGAAAAAGTGCAATTTCTTATGTTGTAAATTCTTTTTGTCTATGATATGAGCCGAGTTTGGTTTTCCTACTGCAACACGTTAAAAATTTAACTGGAGGGTTCCAGACGTTTGCCTTACCCTCTATGGTCCATTATTATCTTTCTAGCCTCTGCAGGGATTTTTGGTTGGTTGCCATGCTTTTCTCTTTGATCATTTGGGCAAATTTTTGACACACTCTTATATGCTCTGAGAATAAAAACAAGTAAAGCTTCGCCTACTCTACACCACGCTTCCATCTCTTACTCTATGTCAGAACCCAGGCCCAGGCTTTGATTTGTACGCTGATCAACCCTGCTATAATTTGGTTTTTTTTTTATTTAGGTATCATATAACAATGTTTAAAGATGCTCTGTCTTTCCACTTTACAAAACATCTCAAAGCACTTGAGCCTACATGTTCAAGCGGGTTTACAACTTTTTGCTTCAACAGTTTTACCTCTGCAATTCTTTCTACGCTTTCCACTCAAGTATTGCTTTTTTTCTTTTTTGTCTTTCCCCATCTTGTCGGTTCCTCTTTTTTCATCGTCCTATCTCCATCAACCTTCTTTTATTCACGTTTTTTTTTCGTTTAACCAGTTAGTTGTTTAAGTTCATTCACTTCATTTGACAATTCAAGTAACGCTTCGCCTACTCTCCACCACGCTTCCATCTCTTACCGTTCTCTCTATGTCCTGCTTTAATTTGTACGCTGACCAACCCTGCTATAAACAGGTTATTTGCTTTTTTATTTAGGTATCATATAACAAACTGCAAAGATGCTCTAATTTTTCGACTTTACAAAACATCTCAAAGCACTTGAGCCTACATGTTCAAGCGGGTTTACAACTTTTTGCTTCAGCAGTTTTACCTCTGCATTTCTTTGTACGCTTTCCCCTCATGTATGGATTTTTTCTTGTCCCATCTCCATCGACCCTCTTTTATTCACGTATTTTTCGTTTAACCGGTTGTTTAAGTTCATTCACTTTATTTGACAAGTCCACTTCACTTGTTTCATTCACTTCGTTTGTTTCTTTTGTTTTTCTACTTCACTATCATTGAAGTTGTAATTCAATGGAAAATATTCATCCAAAGACGGATCGTTTCTGTCTCCAAAGTGGCGAGCTCAACCTCATTGTTATAATTTAAAAACTCATCAGCTTTGCACACCATATGTTCATATGTTTTGCCGTAGCTCTCGAGAAGTACCTGTAAAACAGTACCGGGTTGCAGTTGAGGGGTTTCGGCTCATTCGACACAAACAAAAAAGTACCTGAAAAACATGTTAAAATTAATAACTAAGTTTGACTATTCCTTGTAAAACACAAGTAGCCTAACTTATATGATAGGCTATGCCAAACAGAACTTGGTAACTTACTTGGGATACTTCTCTTAAACTTATATTTTTCAGGCAAACGTGTTTCTTCAGACTTAAATTAATAATACCACAGTCTAAAAAAGTAGGGAAAAGAAAAATATAACCTTACCTCGGGCCCTTAGTAAAAAAGTAAGAATCAGGTGTTCTGCTCCTCAACAACGTTATTTTCCTAGATCAATAAATTATTTTTCACCACACTAGCCTATGATGTTTTAGCTGTTTTACATACGTTAATTGGTGGCTGAAAGTTACGTTTTGCTGGCCATGCCAGCTGTCATCGGTATTTGGGGACCGAGCAGGTTTTAACATCCCTAGGGCCGCAAAATCAGCTGCCCGCTTACTTGACAAGTTGACTCCTTGCTGCTGGAAGCGTCGCCTCAGCTCCGGCAGTCGGCCTTGGACGACTCGTAGCACCTGGCTCGGTCGGAGCCGCACATATCTGTCGCCCCCCAGCATGATCCTCCAGCGCTTATTCCGTCTCTGCTCCGGTGTAGGCCGGTTGTAGGCGGCTACCAGCCGTAGTAGGACGGCCCGGGACAGCGGGAGGTCGTTCCCAGTGACAGTCTCTTCGGTCCCCGTCCGGCGAACGGGGACTCTGGCAAGGCCACTTGGTTGAGCCGGTTCCCAGATGATGGGGGACAGTCTGCGGCGTGCTCGGCCTGCTTCGACTCCCGCCGGCGCTTCTCCCAATCGTGGGCGGCGAGGAGGGGAGTCTCGACGCTGACGCTCGGGCAGGCGACGAGGCGGTGCAGTGGGGCCAGGATGGCGATTGGGCGGCGAGGCGGGACGGCGACGTTGACGGGTTGGAGAGGTGGGGCGAGGACGCGGTCGGGGCATAGAGGAAAGGTGTGAAGACGTGGACGGGATGGAGAGGCAGGGCGAATGCGAGGTCGGGGCGGAGAAAACTGGATCCGCCCCCGAGGCGGCGAAGCGAATCTAACGCCTACATGAGTAAATAGTCGATATTTTAAAAATTTTTAGTACCTACTTTCTAATAAGCATTCACAAAAATAAAACACAAATTAAAAGAATAAAGTTAACATCCAACCTATAAGAACAACAACTATAAGAGTAACAGATGGATGAAATTAGCTGAAAAATATCGAGGATCACAAACAAGTGTCTTTTAATATGCAAATTACAATTTGAACTTGAAAATCTTAACATTAAAGTTATCTTATAGGGAATATCCTGCATTTTTAAATACATACCATAAGGTCAAAAATGACTTTTTCCTTAAGTTTCTCTTCAACATCCTCTAGATCTTGTGCAGTTTCAAGTGGAAAATTTCCCAAAATGACTGATAAATCCATGTCTTCATCATTTTCTGTTACTGTTTGGTTACTACTTTGTTTGGTTATCAGGCTCTCTATCAGTTCTTTAATTATGTTTTAGTTGACTTTCAACACAGCAAGCGTTTTAGTTACCGACTTCTTCCATGCTGAAAATTATTACGTGTATATTAGTTTAGTCACTCAAAACCATAAAGGTAACCAAAAATGAATTTAAGCTTATGATAACTGCCCTCCAATGACAGCAAAAAAAATCAAACTAAAATTGTTTATATTTGCAAGTTGACTTGCAATGTTGACTGTAGGCCTACACATTTCTTCACTACTTTTTTAAGTCCAAAAAGTGTCACATTCCAGTGCAAAATGGGTTACGACAGAGGTGAAGTAGAGTGCAGACTACTACATCTGAACCATCTCGAGCTCCGAAATAGGAGTTTTGTGACGAGTTATTTGACATTTTCATTACTTCACTAACATACATAAGAATATTAGTGGACTTAAAAACCACTTACAATTTAGGTACGGCAACACTATATCAGGTGTTTAAAAATACCAAGTTATTGGCCTAGGCCTATTACTTATATCAAGAGAAAATCCCAGAAAGCATAAGTTAGATTTGAGCATGTAAAACAATTTGACTAGGCCTACTATGACAATCTTAGTTCTTACCTTGAGCATCCAAGATCTGAGATGTCCCAGATAGCAATTTTTTCCTGATTCAGTATTAAATCAAGGTTAAACTTTCAAAGATGCAAGCCTGAATTAATCTTAAAATATCAAGCCATCAAGCCTAATTCAGGGCTAATTCAAGGGTCCTACTGAACACTTGTGAAACCTGAATAAACCCTGAAAATTTTAGGTTGATTCAAGGTAAACGTTTCTGGCCGTAATGCATAATCAAGGCTGAATTGAGGTTGAATTAAGGTATAAGTATGTTTAAATTAAGGTAAAATCATGGTCAATTCAGGACTCATAACCTGAAAATTTAAGGTTAATTCAAGGTAAAGATTTTTGGCTGAAATCAAAATATATTGTTGAATTCGGGTTAAATAAAAGCATAATCATGATCAACTCAGTACATACAGTAACAAGTGATTGACTGACAAGGAATTTTACTTGACTTACGGCATTCTTACGGTCTTAAAGTAGTCCAATATTTTAATGTCCTAGTGGATAGCCTAGCTGTTTTGTCTTTGTGAACTCAAGAACTTTAATGATGCCTACTAAGCGCGGGGACAGCTATCTATTAGGACATCAAAATATTGGTTGCTTTATGGCAGTAAGTTAAGCCTTAAAATATTAAACGCAAGGTACATTACCTTAAGCTTTAATCTACGCAGAAAACTTTGGGTGGATACATAATTTGACCTTATAATCTATATTATAATACAGTTACCACTCACTCACTCATTGATCACTATTCTTCAAAAACTACCATGCATATGTACTCAGAACTTGGTGGCATTGAGGTTTCACTTAACCTCCATAATAGGTTTCACTTAATATGTACAAGAAGTAGCTTTGAGAGATTCCATCAGGGCTCTGGCTCACTGGCTTTAAAATTACAATGTTAACATATTTTTCTTTTGACAGAACTTTCGTTTAATTGTATTAGCTACCAAACCGCTGTTAGGAAAATTCTAAGCAAAACCAATGCAAAACAACTGTTTGTAGCAAAGAAAATTTTTCAATTCTGTTGTGAAGCCCAAGGGGAGGGGCAGCTAGAAACCTATAAATGATGCTATAACTCTTTATTTAAATGTTGTATAGGATAACTGAGTTAGGTTAAAAATAATAAGCCTATTCTGCCAAGCTTGTGAGTGAAGGGTGAGAGCATTTAATTTTTAATAAGGCCTCATCAAATTACACCAGACCCTGCTTTAGAAAAGACATCTCAGTGATCAACAAAAAGTTTAAAAGTTTAAAACAGTTCTTCAAACATAGCCAAAATATCACTATTTGTGGGGGTATAAATAAAATGTAGCAAGTGACATTGGTTATAGTAAATTTATTTTATGAAAATATAAAGTATAAAACAAACTTGAAAATTAGAACATGAGTTAAATTAAGTGACATTTTACTTATACATTATTTACTGTCGCATAACCTCAGCCTGATGTTCCTATTCTGTGCACCAATAACTCCTCTTTTCCTGCAACAAAAAAAATCATAAAGTATCGACTAAGGGAGTATGTTTTATCTAATTTTTTTTTAATTTTTTCTGTACATGTAATCTGCTTGAGTTAAAAATTTCAGCATGGTTTTCCAGTTCACTAAGTAATTTTTAACTTGAATTGTTTTGACTGTGATTAAAGCTGAAACTGTGAGCAAACATTTATTAATATAGTTATTTGTGTGACAAAACGGCACGGAGACGGCTGGACACTAAGTCAAGTAAATAGGGGGCCCGGGATCGCTGAGCCCAGGGGCCCATGATGGCTCTCTCCGGCCCTGATTATCATTGACATTATCAATAGTCTAAAAAATTGGGGAGCGAGCAGGTCTAGTGGTTAGAGCGCGGTCATTCCGGTTCCTGGGGTCCAGGGTTCAAATCCCGCCAAATCACCAATGGATTTAAACTAAGTGATAATGCCGTAACCCCTAGGTCTAGCCTGAAGTAATGTGAAAAACAATCCCGGGCTCCAGCCTAGCGTACGGGGACAAAAAGTCTAAAAAATTGTTGAAACACACAGCGAAATGTAGGTACATGTCAGCTACAGAGCTGCAAATTGTGTCATTCTGTTCACAAATGATACCAGCAAGTGGCGAGGAGCCTTGCTGCAGCGTACTTAAGCGAATTATGGATTTATACGCAGAAACTGGCTCTTACTTGAAAAACCACCCTTGTATGTTCCTTATACTAATAAACCAAATTAACAAACCCGAGACTTGTTATTAGAATTCTAAAACCCGTTGTTGCAACAGTTTAAACGAGTAGGTAGTTTTATCGAATTGGCCAGGGTAGAGTACTCGTCTGTCCTACAGTTATTCTAAAAGTTAGGCAAAATTTGCAGTAACATTTTAACAAAGGCGAGGATGATATTGCTCTCCTCCTGGGCGTCTGCAGGATCTTTTGAGCGCTTCTAGAGCTCTGAACCTTAGATTAAATTAAAATAATTAATCAGTCAAAACCGTGAATCCTTCTCAGCACCCCGGGGAAGAAATTTGAGCGTGGCTGGTACTAGGGGTAGGCTGCTCAGTAAATACAATCTTATTCGCCCCTCATAATTTATGTCACATGCTTTTTACACTTTGGATCTTAGAAAAAATGTAAGTTAATGGGATATTTTAAGTAGTCTACCTATTGAGTTTATCCATGCACGAAAACACTAAGAATGCTCTAGTTTTTAACCTTGGTGAACCCGTCATCGGCCACTGATGCCATGTCTTGTCATCACGGCCTGTGTCGAACTACAGGGAGTGTCGAACTATCGAGGTTCTACTGTAACAACAAAAGTAAACCTTATGAAATAAACAGTTCTATAACTAATATGCTCTACAAACCTTTTAGGTACTGGCCCTAAATTTGGCTTGTCACAGCCATGCACGGATGCAGTTTTTTTTTACTTTCAATTCAGTGGCTTCAGCCAACAGTCTCTTGGCTACAACTGAAACAGTTTAAGTGAAACGCCTCATAATAGATAACAAAAACAAAAGAATTTGTTATGCAAATCTATATAAAGCTCAAATACCACTGACTCATTCATTCACTCACTCATCACGAAATCTCAGAAACCATAAGACCTAGGAACCTGAATCTTGGCAGGCATCATCCTTTTGGGTAGTAGACGATCACTAAGAAAGGATTTTACCCTCCGACCTCTGGGCTCCGCCCCAGTGGCTCTGGAGTTTCCCATGTTAACCTTATGAGAAATGGAATTAATGAATCTTAACAGCTGTTTCAATTAAACAAGTTGGTTCTGTTCTATGATGTTTAATAGCATTAAAGTTACAAGGATTACCAACAGGGTGCAGCACTATTATTTCTTTTACATTTATGACAACAGCTAATTTGCAACCAAAAGGTGAGTGAGCGTAGCGAACGAACTTCAACCTGGAGGCGAGTTAGCGTAGCGAACGAGCTAACCTGAAGGCAAGTGAGCGCAGCGAACGAGCTCTAACCTAAAGGTGAGTGAGCGTAGCGAACGAGCTCCAATCTAAAGGTGAGTGAGCGTAGCGAACAAACTTCAACCAGGACGTGATTGAGCCATGCGAACGAGATCATCTTGAAAATTAAGAAGTTAAACGGGGCAAAGCCCGCGGGTTACAGCTAGTATTGGAAGAAAAATACAAAACAATCAGCTTTTAGAGAGAATATGCCATGTATTTGTATTTAACAAACTAGCTTTGACAATCTCACTTCTGTAGTAAAGTACAGAATAGACATAATTGGTCAGTGTGTGTTTTCAGGGGTGTACAGTGGGATTTACCAAATGAATCAAGTACAAAAAATTTAGTTTAGACTCGTTCAATGGTCTTGCCTCTCTGTTCAACCTGAAATTCTGGCTAAATTAAGCAAGATGGAAAAAGAAGTAAACCATAAGTCTGGCATTAATTTTTTTTTAAACAACTTTCTTCCAAGTGAATTTTTGTTTGACCAACAAACGAAAGTTTTAGTAAGTTTAACCTACTAACTTTCTTACTCTAAGGTTTTAATAATATTAAGTTATGATTTAGGCTATTAATATTTTTTGTTTTAAATTACAAATCATCAATAAAATTTAAAAACTATAGGCCTACAAATGGTAAGGTTTATTTAAAGCAGAAAATTTCAGAATTTTTCCAAAATTGTTAATACCGGTACCGTAAGTTAAATTGCAGCACACAGACCAAGTTATTCATAATAATGTCTAAATTACAGTTCTAAATTCTGCAAATTTCGATGCAAAGCAAGATGGCAACTCATCTTGTAACGTTTGTTCAAACGGCAAGCCACTTGTTTTAAATCTGTGTTCGCTGAAGCTAATTAGTTAATTTGAAAAATAACACAGCAGCCTAGGTAACCTTGTTACAATAACTTTACAACTTACAGCATGGGCAATATACATCTTTAGTAACTTAAATAGGCACAAGTTACCAGGATATGATTTAAAGTTAACAGCTACATAAAACCAAAACGGCAGGTCTCCAGTCAAGTGACATTTTGTAGAAGGTTGTTTTAAATTAGTTCATTACGGTAGCCTACCTTTACTTAGTTTAATCAATGGGTATGGCGTACAAAACTTAAAATCTTTGAGAGATGCTAATCTTAACCCATCTAAACGTTTGCCGAAAAACCCTAGCATCAGGACATAGGACTAGGATAAGCCCTTAGACCTAGGCTACAGTACCAAGTCTATAACTTAAGACATAGGCCTAAGCTAAATTAAAATATTTTTCTATAGGCCTAGGTCTATTTATCCAATCCATCGAAAATCATTTCTTCATTCTTAAATGAAACTTCATAACTTCGGCCTATGATAACTTAAGACAATCTACGCTGATAAAAAACTGCATCATTAAGTTACATATTGGCTTGTGTGTTCATAATATTGTAGCCCACCGGATTTGGCAAAAATAAGTAACTAGGTCTTGAACAATTCCAGATACAATATTCCAACGGATCACAATACTTTCTAGGCCAACTATAAAACAATTCACCAGTCATGAGGCCTAGGGCAAGCACAGGCCTAGAATTATTCTGGATCCTAGTCCAAATTTGGCAGTTTATTGTTGTAAGATAATTTTCAGAGCATTTGTAACTTGAGGTTCTAATGTCAGTATGATTAGCATTCTAACACACATATCTTATCATAAGAATGGAAAAAATATTATGAATACAATGAAAAGATTAGCTGACTCACCTTTATGTTTCGTTGGCTCACAAGCACTTTTGTTGCAGTTAGTCTTCTAAAATCGAACACTATGGAATTAACTATGAACAAAGAAACTGAAAATTGACAAAAACTAACTTCAATATGAATACTTTATGTCTAAAAACTCTGATATAGTAATAACGCGAGAAACAAACGTCGCAAAAAGACAAACTGACAAGACACACAAAGACAAAAGACAAAGAGGTTAGGATTGTTTAGGGGTGGATCCTGGCGTCTGGCTGGCGTCGCTTGGTCGAACTGCATCATGGGAATTCGCGCTATTGTTTTGTTGACTCTGTTTCAGGGCGGAATCTATGAACTCAAAAAGGGCAGTATTTTGTTGTCCTTGAATCCAGCCACAATGTTCCTAATATTTGCAACCTTGAATTGTGAATGCAAATTGTAGGGAAAAGTTTACCTTGAATCAAGGGTCCTTGCTATCTGGGGTAGGCCTTTGAAGGGGTTGTGGTGTAACAGGGCTATGTACCGGTAGAGATTTTTGAGCGGTGGGAGTCCTGTTATTGAAATTAGAGTTATTGCCTGGTTCTATTGGGGATTCAAATGTATCAATGTCAGGGAGGATATTTACACCAAAATCTTCGTCATCTGATTTATCACTCGGTTTAAAATAAATCTGTCTTTGGTTTTTTGGTCTGCCAGCACCATCTTCTTCCTCGGAACTTGAGATATTTTGGGTTAGGTATTATATTTCTTTTGAAATTTTCATGATCACTGTTCAAGTCAGAAGTGATTTCATACCCCTTACTTTTTTCACGTGCCACGTTCAAGGAATATGTAGTAAGATATAATACTGTAGTGCTGTACTTGGGCCGTTTCAGAATATCGCTTCAACTACTGTACAACGCCTAGCCTTAATCATTGAAAATTTTGAAAAATAAAATATCTTGGTTACGTAATACAGTAGGTCTACCGGTAGACATAAGACATAAGATCAATTTATTTCCTGTAATTGGATGACTTAAGTGTTTGGATTGGAGACTCCCTCTCAACCGACTGGACCTAGGGATAACTGAAAAGGTTGGTTAAAACGGGCAATCCCTAAAAACAAAAAAAAATGAAGTGCTAGGCCTATTCATTTTGGAATTATATAATCATTATTCTGAAGCTCTGAAGGAATTTTTGGCATTCAACAAACGCAAACTTTCAATGTCTTCTAACTTTTCTAAAAAATAACTGCACTTGCCTAGCACAAAACGTAGGTAGAACAACTATAACATTCAGATGGTGTTAGTTTATCCGTAAAACAGTATAAAAAGAAAAGAAAAACTACCTAATCGTAAGAGCAGATAGTCTGGTTTTATTCCGCATCCCGCACATGGTCTAAAAAGTCCTGTTTTAGGGATAAAAATCCCAATGCAAACGTAAATGGCAGCACCGCGCAGCTGCGCACTGGCCAGCGAAATGGAACCGATTTGTTGTATGAGTTTTATAACTTGGTTTACCTACATGAAATTCAGGTTACGGCTATTAGCATTATTTGCACGTTATTTTCGTGCTGGTAAGACACAGGCTGGTCGCCTGTTGCAACAATAATTGTCATGACACTGGTAAGTTACGGTAATGTACGATATTTTCGTGCCGGCAAAACACATGCTGGTTTTCGACTCCATAAGAGACATTGCAAAACTTGTCGGTGGCGAGGTGACGTGGCTGGTGGATAGACGACGGCCGGCTGGGGATCCACCGTCGGAGATGGCGGTTGTTCGGCCCGGGGAAACGGCTCTGCTGCCCGTGGCGATGGTCGGGACGGGATCTCCCCCTCCTCGAGGTCGGAGCAGTCCAGCTCGAGGACGTCCCCAGGGTCCACCCGGAAAGGCCAAGCCCAGTTGGCTACCAGGAACTCCCCGATCTCCCGGTCCAGCTTCATGTCCTCGGGGTCGTGGATGTCTCGGTTCGGCGTCGAAGAGCGGGGGGTCGGACGACATCACACCTACCCAACAGAACAAGCACTAAGCGGGACAATGCAAGCTAGGTACTACAAGCTAGGTCACATAATAATCATCAGCACTAATGTTACTACCAACACCGATTCTGTTAGTTTTCAGCACTTAATCTTCACTTGCACTTATTTCGAGACTACAGTAGTTGCGTACCGCTAAACAACAATAAAACCACATTACTAATCAACCGGCAAAATAATTGTACAACCCTAACATCTGTAACACTCATCCGTTCACTCAGCCTACATCGCTATCAGGTGGAAGTCAAAAGAAAAAGTCCTAACTATTTAAGTATTAATAGCGGTGACCGTAAATATTGAATAGACAGTCAGTAGGATACCCCCGGATCGAGGCCAAAACCACCCCTAGAGTGGTAGTTTAATCCTCAGAGGTAGTGAATACATATATGTTGAATGTTAGGGGTTGTTAGGGGTAGTTTTGGGGCATTTTTAATTGTTAGGGGTAGTTTTATGGGAGTTATCAGTTGATCATGTGACCTTTTTATATGTAGGTACTTTTATTAAACTATCTTGTGGATAAAAAGTGTGTGTTTTGATTGAGGATGGAACTCTGGTCCCCTAGATTATGGATTATTGCTCCAGCTATTGAGCTACGACAGCAGTTATTAGTCTATGTTGGTATTTATCATATGTATAAATCAATAAAATATTGTAGTTGTCAACTGTTTTGCTAAGTAACATAACCTCACTTTATGTACTGTGTATGAGTTGTAGTCTGTTAATTGACTGCTCTTCTGCTAGCTGTTTTTGTTAATTGATATTTTTTTTATATGTTGGTACTTATGCCAAAGTAATATATTAAATATTTAGTTGGGGGAAATAAGGAAAACAACTGTGAAAGATAAAACGGTTTTATTTGCATTATTTATAGCCTGTCTAATACCTTATCACTAATTGAGGTGCTGGTGATGATTCTGGTGGTATTGCATCATCTGAAACAGATAATAACTATAATTAGTGTCTAAAAAAGACATTAATCACAATCAATACCTGAAACAAACAACAATTATAATTGGCCTCATATCAGTAAACAAGTTATAACTTGAAAACTATTATTCTGGTAATAAATCTCTGTATGCTGATTGGCTATAATAAGCTCTCTTCTGATTGGTTATAAATAGGTGATTGGTTACCCCCACCCCTTCTCTATCGTATATATAGTGCTCTGTGGTTCTCTCAGTGTACTTTGCTCTCAGTGATTGAAGATGACGGACGTAAGTAGCTTAGCTGTTCAAGTAGTAGATTCTAATGAATCTGTAGTAGATTCTAATGAACCTGTAAATATAGTAGAAGATTCTGTTGAAGTAGTTGTCCCTGTAAATATCTTAGATAAACATGAGAACTATGTAAAGAAATTTAGAATTCATGGAATTAATACTGTTTTTAAGTTTTCTAATCCTCCTGCTGAAACTAGTGAGATTGATTGGCTAAGACAAGGGTTTGGTCAAATTGTAAATGAAATGAAAGAAGTTTGTGAGGAGGGCGATCAATTGGGATTCACTTTGCGATCACTTAACCTAAAAAGTAAAGAGCCGGGGTTTGTTGCTTTTCGCCCTGCAGATGAAGTTAATGAGGACGTTTTGTGGCAAATCTTTGGGGGAATTGTACAATCAAATTCTGAATCAATCAAGTCCACAGATACATTTCAAGTTGAATGTACCCGAGTTAATCTCCCTGTAGGTTCAGGGGGCTGCAAAAGACCTGGCCTGTATAATACATTTGATGAGGAGTGTAAAGTTAGAACTGGGATTGTTGTAATTAACAATAAAGATAATTTGTGTCTTCCCCGTGCTATTGTAGTGGCTATAGCTAATGTAACTAAAGATCCTGAATACAGTGCAGTTAGAAAAGATAGGGCAAAAAGACAGACTGTTAGAGCTCAAGAACTTGTATGTAGAGCTAGGGTTGAGATGCCTGAGGGTGGTGCAAGCATTCATGAACTTGAAAAATTCCAGGACTTGCTTAAAGACTATAAAATCACTGTGTACAACTACAATGCTAAAGGTAGGGATGTTTATTTTGAGGGAAATGTAGAGAATCCCAAGTTCAAAATTAACTTGTTGTTTCACAATGGACACTATAATGTAATCACTAGTCTGACAGCTGCTTTTGCTTGTAAATATTTTTGTGGAGCTTGTCATGTCCCGTATGATCACAAAGGTGAGCACCGCTGCTCAATCTTGTGTCCTAAATGCAACATGACTTACAAAAATCAACGCTGTTTCATTGCACACCAGGCTGATAAGTGTAAAAATGTAAAGACATGTCTTGATTGTGGGAAACTAGTCTGGCTTAAAGAGAGGTCCAAGCCTCACAAGTGTGGGGAAGTATTTTGTAAGCCCTGTGGAGAATTTAAAGATCCTAACCACAAATGTTATATGAAACCCAACAAAGGCAAACCTAAATCTAAAGACTATGTTTTTATATTCTTTGATCTGGAAACTCGCCAGGATGAGTCCCTGTCCTCTGATCCTGAAAGTAAATTGCATAAAGTAAACTTGTGTGTCTCTCAGCAGTTTTGTTACCGGTGTATTGAGGGGAAATTCTGTATATCATGTAAAAACCGTACACGTGTGTTTGACTCTGACCCTATTAATCAGTTCATGGACTATGTAATGTATGTGAGGAAACAGTTTAAAAATGTCTGTGTAATTGCACACAATGGGCAGGGTTTTGATTTTCAATTCTTGCTAAAGTACTTGTTGGAAGAAACTAAATTCACACCGGAACTTGTAATGAGGGGAACCAAAATTATCTTGATGAAAATTGACAATGTTAGGTTTGTGGACTCACTAAGCTACTTCCCCATGGCTCTGTCTGCTCTGCCTAAAGCCTTTGACCTACCTCCAGAGAAAAAGAAAGGCTACTTTCACCATCTCTTCAACACATTGGCAAACCAAAACTATGTAGGCCCTATGCCACCCAAAGAGTACTATTGTCCCGAATCTATGTTTGAGAAATCTCACAATGACTTTGACAAATGGTACAGTGAACAGATTGCTAACAACTACGTATTCAACTTCAAAAACGAGATCCTAGCTTATTGTATGTCAGATGTTGATATCTTGGCTCAAGCCTGTCTAAAGTTCCGCTCAATCTTTCTAAAAGAGTGTAATGTTGATCCGTTTCTCGAGGCTGTTACCATTGCGAGTGGCTGTAATCTAGCTTTCCGCCGTAATTTCCTTAAACCCAATACTATCGGACTCATCCCTAAAAACGGCTATCGATTAGTAGACACTCAATCAGTCATAGCACTCCAATGGCTTTCTTGGGTCGAGGAAACCAACGGAATTAGGATTGATCATGCTGGACGAGGCAAAGAAGTCAAAGTTAATGGGGTGAAAGTGGATGGGTTTGATGGTAGAAACATCTATGAGTTCCAAGGGTGTTACTGGCACGGGTGCCCTAAATGTTTTCCCTACAACCGTCATGCCCCCTTGAAGGAGGACCCCTCTGATTCTCTTCATCTCCGTTATGAGAGAACCATGGCTAAAATGCCAAGTTTACAGAACATGTATTGGTAGAGATGTGGGAATGTGAATTCCGTAAGCAGAAAAAAGACCAAAAACTCAATCATCTGGACAGTCTGTCCATCTTGAATAATCTCCCACTAGTCCCACGACAGTCTTTCTTTGGAGGTAGGACAGGTAATGCAAAATCCTATCACAAATGTGCTGAGGGGGAAACTATTCAATATGTTGATGTTTGCTCTCTCTATCCGTATGTTTGTAAGTATGGGAAGTACCCTGTAGGCCACCCAACTATCTATGTAGGAGATAGGGAGTGTCGTGAGAGAGGTATGGAAGTAGAGGGTTTGCTAAAATGTAAAGTTTTGCCGCCTCGCGATCTCTATCACCCTGTACTCCCTACAAAAATGAATAACAAATTGATGTTTGCGTTGTGTAGGACTTGTGGGGAGATGATGTATCAGGGAGAGTGTAATCATGACAGTGATAATAGGGCACTAGTTGGGACTTGGACTATGGATGAGATTAGGAAAGCTGTAGAGAAAGGATATATTGTATTGGACATGTATGAGTTATGGGAGTACCAGGTAGCGACTTATGAAAATGGGGGCTTGTTCACTGATTTTATAAATAAATTTCTTAAGATGAAACAGGAAGCTTCGGGCTATCCAGAGTGGTGTAGGACTGAGGAGGACAAAAACAAGTATATTGCAGAGTATTTGACACATGAGGGAATCAAGCTGGAGAAAGAAAAGATTGTTAAGAATGGGGGCTTGAGGTCTTTGGCAAAATTAATGTTAAATAGTTTTTGGGGAAAATTTGGCCAGAGGGAGAACCAGACTAAAGCTACAATTGTTAGGGACTCTAAAACCCTCTTTCAAATGTTCTCATCCCCTGAAATTAAAGTGAATAGGCTCCAGACTGTCAATGATGAGGTTGTAGTTGTTTCCTGGGAGTATTTGGAAGAAGTTGGGGAGCCTCTCAGTAACTTTAATGTTTGTATCGCGGCTTACACCACCTCGCAAGCTAGGCTCAAGCTCTATGAACACCTTGATGCCCTAGGAGCTCAAGTATTGTATTATGATACAGACAGTGTTTTATTCTATCACCGTCAGGGCCTGTATAGAGTCCCTACAGGAGATTACCTCGGTGAAATGACAGATGAATTGACAGATTATGGACCCGGCTCTTATATCACTGAACTTGTCTCTGGGGGGCCTAAAACCTATGCATACCTTGTCTGGTCAACCAATCAACAGAAATTGATCCCAGTTTGTAAAATTAAGGGCCTCACCCTCAACTTTAAAACATCAAAAACTTTGAATTTTGAGAAACTAAGAGAAATGGTTCTTAGTGAAGTAAAGCAGTCCATTGATATCGAAGAACACAGAATCAGAAGAACTAAAGATAGAGACATCGTCACCATCACTGAGAGTAAAGTCTTTAAAATCACAGGGCCAAAGAGAAAGTATGACGGAGAGTATGACACTCTACCTTTTGGATTTAGCAAAGTCCAAAGAGACCTGTAAATAACAACTTTTGTACATATCTTTGTAAATAATCTTTTAAATAACAACTTTTGTATATAACTTTGTAAATAATCTTGTATATAACTCTCCCAATAAAAAAAATAAAAAATAAAAAAAAACAAGTCTATAGATCAATAATACTTATGTAACTCAATCAAAATTATATGTATGAATGTGTGTGTGTATGTGTCTCTGTGTGTGAGTCTACATTGAGAAGCTCAGATTGGAAAGAACCTGAACTACTCTTTGTAGGTCAGCTGTAGTCACCACTTACCAAGGCCGCATTATAGTAAGTCCTAGTAAGAATGATGTAATCTCAAGGTACTCGGTCACCATATGGTTACCACCTACTAAGGCGGATTGAGTAAGACCTTGTAGGAAAAATGAGCTAAATCCTAGAGATTCATCGGTCACTGCAGGCTGCGAATGAAGGTCACTAGTATGACTAACTAAAAGATCTATAAACTTTAAAATTAAAACTTTGAAATTAACATTTGGTAGAGCTACATAACTATTTATCTATAGATTTGACAAAAAAAATAAAAAGCTTTGTTAAGTAAGGGAGAGGGCGTTTATAACCAATTCAGATAATCTGAATTGGTTATAAACGCTTAACCTGGCCTCATTTATTGAGGGGATAGTCTCAAACCCTATCCAATACAAAGCTATATTATATGTAACAGATGTTAAGATAAATCATTTCCATCATGGAAGCCATAGCGGAAGAGCTACACAAACCTGCAAGGAAGAACTATGTCACACGTAATGTAACACTTAAGGGAATAAATGATTTGTATCAAGCTGATATAGTAGAGATGCAGCCATATGCAAAGTTAAACAAGGGGTACCGCTACATTATGACAATCATCAATTGTTTTTCTAAATTAGGTTTTGCTATACCTTTAAGGGACAAGTCAGGCCCTGTAGTTGCCAAAGCACTCAAACCTATACTAGTTAAATATAAAATGAAAAATTTTCAAACCGATCAAGGGAAAGAGTTTTTTAATATTCATATTAATAGATTGATGAAAGAGTATAATATAAATCATTATCATACATTCTCAGAAAAAAAGGCGTCGATTTGTGAGAGGTATAATAAATCGCTTAAGAATAAAATGTATAAATTATTTACTGCTCGTGGAAGCTACGAGTGGCTAAGTATCTTGCCAAATATTGTAAAGTCATATAATAACAGTAAACATAGGACTACTGGTATGAAGCCTAAAGATGTTAAACAAAAACATGTTAAGATGATACTGAAAAGATTAAACAAACTAAAAAACCCTAAAGATAAAATTAAATTTCAATTAGGAGATAATGTTAGAATCAGTAAAGCTAGAAGAATGTTCAAAAAGGGGTACTTGCCCAACTGGACTAATGAAGTTTTTAAAGTATACGCGATTAAACCTACAAGACCCGTCACATATATATTACAAGACTCGACTGGGGAAATCCTTAAAGGTGGCTTTTATGCTGAGGAAATTAGCAAGGCTAAAACGGGTAATGTATATCTGGTTGAGAAGGTTTTACAGCGTAAAGGTTCTAAATTGTTAGTAAAGTGGAAAGGCTTTGATGAAACACATAATAGCTGGATAAATAACAAGGATATAGTTAATAAGTCACTATCTACCAAGGTATTGTAAAAAAACACATAATAGTAGGAAAATTGTCAAGGACCTAGTAGTAGTAGTAGTCATTGTTATCTAAAGTATAAAAACAAATCCACTTAAAGCAGTGTAATCAGTAACAATGAGGTTAGTACAGCAGAATGTACAGTTTCCTGTAATAAACTTTGATATCTTTAGCGGTTCAGGGTTAGATAAGAATTTCAAGCATGGTCAACTATTGCCAAGTTCAATTCGGTCTATTCTTTGTGGTCCTAGTTCATGTGGTAAAACCAACGTATTATTCAATATGATCTTTGATCCAAATGGTTTGCGATTTGAAAATATTTATGTTTTTTCAAAGTCTTTATATCAGAATAAATACAAGTTGCTTAAACAAGTGTTGCCCAAAGAAATTGGATACTATGAGTTTGATGAAACTACTCAAGTTATAAAACCTAATGATACAAAGAAAAACTCTATAATTATATTTGACGATATAAGTTGTGCGAAGCATAATATGATTAGAAGTTATTTTGCTATGGGGAGACATAAAAACTTAGATATATTCTACTTAGGACAGACCTACAGTAGTATTCCAAAACAGTTAATCAGAGATAATTGTAATTTTCTTATACTATTTAAGCAGGATGAAATGAATCTGAGACATGTATATAATGATCATGTGACAACTGATATGTCTTTTGACAAGTTAAAAGAAATCTGTGCAGTTTCGTGGAAAGATAACTTTGGGTTTTTAGTAATTGACAAAACATCGGGTCTTAATAAAGGTAGATATAGGGTAGGAATCGATAGTTTTGTAACAGAGTTATAAACAGTATTACACCATTGACTTGAGTAAATCGTTTATGGTATTTTGAAAAAAAATAAAAGGTGTTTTTTTTAGATAGGTTGAAACCCATAAAACTATACATACAAGCCTGCATACTTCATTCACAAATATGAAAGGCTATTAAACGCAAGTATAAAATGTTTAAAGAGGGTACAGAGGATACGGATTTACAGCTGGAAAAACAGTACAGACCTATTATACAGGAATTAAGAAAAGCTGCACCACAGCCACTAATTAAAAGTGAAGTTAAGGAAGAGGAGCCTATGGACTATGAAACTACAGATTCAGAAAATTAGATAGTAGCTAAACCACCAGCTTCATCCACCCCTATGAGGGTAGTTGAGCCACTAGCTACCCCTGTAAGGCCTAAAGGATAAGAATTTACCGAACTTGTCTCAACACTGACTAATTTAGCCTCTACTACTCAGTTTGTTGAGGAATACTTTGACAACCCAGTGACACAACAATATATGACGTGGTTTATTAAGGATATGGGTGGTAAACAAAAGGTAATAGATTATACATTTGGCCCACGTTATGAAGACGGTGATGTGTTAATGGTTGGCAGTGAAAACTTGGACTTTGACCATAAAGGCAATATACGGATTGGTGGTGTTAACTATGGAGCGTCTGAAGGTCTCTATGAACTATTATTCAAGCGATTACCTGATAAAGATACTTACAAGGAAAAAGATTTAAATGCCTACAAAAGTATATTATATGCTACAAATGCACATAGAGAGAATTATGAACCTACAGGTCGAGTTAAATCAAATAGAGGTCAAAAATATCTTAAAATCATACAACCATTGATGTCTGCACAAGGGAAAGGCTTACTATGGAAAAATATACAATCCCGAGATATTATCTATTGGGATGATGTAAATGAGCTTGTAAACAGACTTGGATATATAATTATGTCTACAGAGACTGGAAACAGAGTGCATTCCAATGAGATCATCAGTATTATAGAAGAGCTGCGTGAAGCTGGGTATATAAGAGGCAGTGGAAACTCTATGGTTAAATCATTAATATAATGACTATTGATAAGTTTGGACGCAGTAGTAAATCTGGCAAAGATCCTGTTAAAGGACCCAAGGGCGACGGGTTTTTTTTCAGCCGAGGGAAACTACGACCTACAGAGTAAAATTCTGACTAATATTGGTAAACCTAAAAACAGTAATGACGCGGCTTCAAAGGAATATGTTGATAAAAGAATTATACCAGGTGATAAACACACCTATAATCTTAGAAGTAAAAGATTAATAAATGTGGGCGATCCTGTTGGAAATACCGATGGAGTCAACTACCAGACTGTAAAACAACTCTGTCTAACACTCAAGGACTCCCATTTTGATGCTCAGGGGAAACAAATAACACATCTAGCTGAGCCTAAGGATAAAGACGACGCTATAACAAAAGAAAATTTGAGAGAAGTACAAATAGTATATTTACACCAATGTCTAAACATTTGGATGGACTTAAATCCGATATTACTACCATCAATGAGAAAATATCACAACATCAGAGTTTAATAACGCAAAACAAGATATATCATGATAGAGAGTTGAAAAAATTCAGCGTGATTCTATTTAACTATATTCATAAAAGACATACGGGAAGGTCTGCCAATTTACCTATTACTGGAGAAAATGATTATCTAAATTGGGAGGAACTATATAAAGTGCCCGATGAAAAAGAAGTAAACCCCAATGAAGAAGTAAAACCCCTCCCCCCAAATAACTATGATCTGTTCATGACTAGTGAATAAAAAGCACGCGTCTATAGTTGACTAATCATTAAAGCTTAGATCTTTGAACATGTTGGTTCTTGTGTTTCTATTGCTTGTACCACACACTGTGTTGTGTAATAAAACATTAGAATATTTACAAAAGTATGGCTATATAGCTGATTCTGCTTTAAACGACGACATAGGTGATGCGGTAAAACAGTTTCAAGAGACGTTTAACTTGGAAGTGACCGGTACCTTAGATAATGCAACATTAGAATTATTAAACCAACCACGATGTGGTAATAAAGATAATCCACTGCCATTTGCAGTTATACCTAACCGTAAATGGAATACAACAGTAATTACATGGTACGGATACAATATATCTCATATAGGTAATATTATTATTGAAAAAGCGTTCCGTGTATGGGAGAAACATGCAAACATCACTTTTAGAAGGTCATTTCATAATCCTACCATCTTTATTTCATTTTCCGTTCAAAGAAAACATATGTTCTATGCTAGAAAAATTACATGTTTTTATGAATTTGATGGGCCCGGTTCAGAACTAGCTCATGCTTATACACCTCAAGCTGGATTTAATTCAACCGATATTCATCTGGACTCTGAGGAGAATTGGGATTATACGATGGACTTACCGCGTTATGAAAACATTTCGTTTTTTCTAACATTAGTACACGAGATTGGACACGCGTTAGGTTTAGACCACTCTTTTGATAACGAATCAATCATGTACCCTTTTATGAGGCATCCTCAAGGAATCATAGATCTAAATGAATTTGAATTAGGT